TATCAAGTAAACCTCTACTCTGTAGTAAGTAGTAGAACATTGTAATATCAAGAGACATACAATTGTGGTTGCATTGTTTTTTACCTGAAAGCTACATCTGACTATGTTGAACCACAGGTTTATATGAGCTATTTGTCATTAAAATAAGTACTGAAGTACAGTGACCTACTGAAGGGCCTTCACACGAAAACTATTGATAGAGTCAGAGATTACAGTGAACTTTTAGCTGAATTAGCTACATTACAGTGTCTGTTAGGACTCCTCCACATTAGTTATCATCACTTAACTTTTGATAAAATCTCAATGCATGAAAATGCCGATATAGGACAAGTCAGAATTTATGCCTTCCCTCACTATAGAAAGAGAACTAATTAGGATTCTTGATCGCCTCATTTATTTTAAGTCGGTGAACAACCAAATCTAAGCATGGATACAAAATGATTACCCAATATTGGTCAACTTATGCTATGCGTGGTATAGATAAGATGTCTTATTTGTTCGTCAGTGAGGAAGTATGCAGTGAAACAGTTGACTTCGTAATAATTCACGACAGTGAAATATGGTCTGTGCAACTGTGTTTAAAGCGATGGTCATGTACGAGGAAATAATCGAATGGATAAGATTAATAGTAAAGTTTAGGATAACAGTAGAAAATTGGTTGATGAAAGTATAAACCTTCACCCCATTGAAATGATTATAACATGTGTTACACATATCTCTAGTTATTCACACATCTCAATAGGTTAGTTAGTATAAGAGTTAGCTGGAAGAAGTCTAAGAGTGATTTTATGTCTAAACAAATGTATAGAATGGTAATATCAATACAGTAAACTGATGATTACTTGGTCTTGAAATCAATAAAGACAACATTGATCAATCCTAAATTCTAAACAGATTAATACTGAACAGCTTATACGTGGTGGTAATCAACTCTGTATGACAGTACACTATATTTGGTAATACGTCCTCCTCTGGAAAAATTCAAAATTTTCTGTAAACGTTTTATTTTTTTTCTTTGAATTATAAATAAAATAGGAAGTCCAGCATTTTTTTCTTAGTTATTATTGGTTGTATGTACTTTTATTTATAAAAGAACTTGTTAACGAAATATAGACTGAATGTTTGATATTATTTCATGGCTAACTATAAATTGTACAGCTTAATTTGCATGGACTTTACAAATGAATCATTATCTGAATATATATTTATGCTTTTACTTCAGCCTAAGTTTTATTCAAATTAAGTGTAGAATTATGTTTAAGAATTAAATCAGTTGAGAAATCATGATACAATCAGAGAGTATTTGATATTCTGTCTTATCCTTCTTTGGAGGTACGGATGTGTACATGGTCAGTCAAGTTGAAAGTAAAGCAATGACTTACACGAATGGCATCTTACAATGGTTGTGATAAATTGTGAACTAGCATAACAAATGTGGATGAATTAGTCCACCACAACTGAGCACGTCGCAAGAAACGACGCTGTTAATTGCTGAATAGGGCTGCGCTAGTAGATGCACATCAATTGATTAAAGTCCACACGATTATCATAACCAACGGTTGTAGATTTTGGATGATATTTTTTTAAAAATTGGTCTTAATGGTTCAGATGGATCTAATCTTTGTCCTCCCTTACATTATGATTCTTAAAATTATAGGACACTTTATATTTCGTGAATACGTTCTTGGGTCATAATATTTATGCTTAATCTTCTTTACTACTGTTATTACTCCTATTAATCTGGCATTCATCTTAATAATTTCATTTCACTGTATTGATATGATGTGGTAGCTTCAATATATGCCAGGTCCGACATTGCCTGTGACTGACTTGCGCAGTGTTAAGGGTGAGCACTAAAGAGATGTTTTATGAAACAAGTGGAATGTGACTAGCAGAGGAATTCAGGATAGATGTTTGGTCTTATTTGGGACCCACCAGTTATATGTACCTATTATATCCGAACGAAGAACAAATGAATGGTAACTGCTAGGAATTATTTATGGACTGTTATTATGCAGACAGTCTCATTGTATAACTATCAAGTAACTAGATTATATATATTTGTATTTCTCTTATTATAAACTTTCTTTCGATATATTGACTACTATTATACGATTAACTATTCTTAATTTATTTCCAATCTATTAGTTACAATCTTTCACATATTCACAGTTGCTTTCGGCTAGATCTTTTATAACCGTTATTTTCTATTTTACGATATCATGAGATCTGATTTGCTTGTATATAAACTACATATGTCTGAAATACGTGATTTATACAACGGAAGCTGAGATTGTGTTTTGGATTCAACAGGCAGGGTTATGTGAGAAGAAATAATAAAAACTCAGAGTAGACTCTAGGCTGCTCGTGCTGGTTAACGCATCATTGGTTCGGCACAGGGCTGAGGTCGTAAAAGTCGGTGTTCTGATTGACGATCTTGTCACGTGATATTTGATCGGCTATAGGACAAGACAGTAGTTACATGTCAGAGCTGATGTTTACTTTGCGATTCGAAACTAGTACCTTTCATTTCGACCACCTAATGAGTTATTGATATGATGGAAAGAGAAGTCAAAATTATACTGATTCACTCAGTATGATTTTTGTTCAACATTATTTTCGTTTTAATCCAATGTAATGATTACTCAATGTAGTATTTATTTTGTTTTCCCGTATAACATACGATATTCTTGCATAAAGTTAACATAAACTATATTCAGCATATGATTTGTTATATATGTGATTTCATCCTAATTATTAATCAAAATGGGTGTACAATCAATATATAAATGAGTGCATTTTCGACTAGGTTCGTCATCGTGTTTCGAGGTTACTAGCAGAGCTTAGGAGCTGAATCTGGCGTTCAAAAAGAAGATATAAGTTATCTACTTAGCTACTGAGTTCACATAACCAGTCATTTGTGCAACAGGTATGAATTTTGATACAATTTGTAATGGTTTTGGATTATCACAATTATTGGTATTTTCGACTCAATTTCGATCGGTTAAAAATATCAACAATCGAATGATCCAAATAAAAAAAAAATTACAAACTAAATGAAGAGCTAAACAGTTATCAATTACTTATTGATTTTCAATGATTCATAAGATCAATTCTTTTGGGTGACTTGAGTAATTATTTCGCATCTTTTCTGCAAATTTATCGCATAATTGATTCAGCCATGTAGGTGGATGCAGATTACATGGTTGGGGTCCTTAGAATTGTCGTAACCAACACTTACGAACTTTTTATATGGCTCAGGATCATTAGGAATAGCACAGATGTATTCCGTTTTTGTTTTCACTTAAAATCCGAGTTTCGAAATGTTCTTACACCTGTTTTCTTTTCCTATACATAATGTTTTCTACTACTCTGAGATTTGTCCAGGAATAGTTTTATATAGTTGAAATAATGCGGCTTAGTAACTTGAACTAAAATACATCCCAGGTTCTATGTTGCATATGATTGACTGATTGACTATTCATAACAACAAACAAACTATGAACTCATTAGGAAAGGTTTTTTGATAAACATCGCATAAATTATTTCTCATAAATAGAAGAGTTAGTCAGTGAGTATGAGCAAACTAACATTTGCACATTTCTGATCACATTGAAAGGATATTCATAAAAAAGAAGAAGAATTGAACTTTATCAAAAATGAACTATTAAATATTCGGTAAATCATATTTTAATCGATCGAACTTTAGTACTAGATTATAAGCCATTCTTATCACTGTTTTAATTTGATCAATATTGTTCAATTTAGTCAAAGTAAAAGTAAACTTTTCATATGAATACGGCAGGAACAATGAGTGATGCAGAATAAAATGGGTTCAGTAAAAATCTTGTAAATTTTCTTTAGGTTTTAGTCGGGTGATTATAATTTCCTATTGATATTTAGAACTGCAAATGATAAGTCTCTGTTGTGATATGTACAACCTGAAGGACTGGTAACGATATATAGCTATTAACTTGTTCAACGACTGGGAAAGTATTAGCAAGGGTTTATGATTTTCAAGTGCTGAAAATCATGATTGTAATTGGTCGGTCTCTGTTGTTGTTTTATGACCCTTTTTGTATCGAAAGATAATATATTACTTAATAAACAGACATCACACAGAATCGGTTACGGTGATCAAATGAATTTTTTTTGTTTTCTTACCAATCTTGAGTTTCAATGCCATTTCATAATTTCTACTCTCTTTTATTTAACTCTGTATTACCGAATCATATTCTCCACGTTAAGCTTTACTCTTTCATTTCGACTCCCCTTGATGTGTGGTATTGGTATGATGTGCCAGCTTAAGCCGAGATACATTTATGTCAGGAGCTATATATATTATGACCAACCGATTGACTGTAGGCAGATATAGTTTGAATCTAACCGAACCACAAATCTACCATTTAACTTTAATCATCGCACTTCACAAGTTGAATAGGAGTGATAATTAAGTATTTCGGAACAAGATATTTGTTTATCAAATACGGTTTTGTAATTTCGCTTTTTATTGATGAAAAAATTATTAAAATGACTTGCTTTTCTCAGCTTATTTGACTGACAAAGTATACAACATTTTGAATGTATTGCATGTATCATGAACCTTAAACTCGAGAAATATGTGTTTACATTAATAAGAGAATCAACATAAGATTGACTATTGAGAGTTGTGAAACTTAAAAAATTAGCTGTTGAAGTAACAACAGCTGACTTTCATTTAAAACCATAGCTGAAAATGGAGTTTGAGGGCAGGAGGACCTTACATAAATGCATTTTTCAATAAGTAAAGAATATTACTGGGACTTTGGCAAGTATCTATTGAGATTTTGTGACCTTGCTCTACTTGTAGTGGAGACGTTTAAAGCTTACAAGATTATTAACATATCTATAGGGAGTACAGATCCTATCGTCATGTAAACTGAATTATCTCAAGTAAAAATAGAGTTCACAAGGTGACATCCCCGTAAAAAACTAAAACTATACACATAGATATTAGTTACCTCACCGCCTAAAACTTCCAATTGATGGCTTGATAGTGACTGTAAAGCACCGGGAGGAACAAGTAAGACGTTATTACGTAAAAGTAATGGTCCACGTAGACGAATTTTTACTCCAGGTCGAAGTTTTTTTGATAATTCTTTAAAAGGTAAAGAAGATCGTGATCTTGTGGATTGGGTGCCAAATTCAATAACTTTGATTTCATTTACTCCATCAGTAAGAAATAGAGTGAGACAATTGGCCATTGTTGACTGTCTAAAATTGTTTGTTTGAGTTGCTTCAACAGAAATATGAGAAGAGAACACGAAAAAAAATATGTTTAAAGGTAGAGAATAATGACGTACTGGATATATGTGAACATTAGTATTTAAGCGATGTAAACAGTGTTTCAATACCCTCCGCTTATTTCAAGCAGTTGAGTAGTATGTTTACTCACTTTATCCACACACAAAAATTAATATGCTTCAATGTTTGATAGATGCTTGCACACCTAAATCCTGAGTTTGAGAGGAAAGACGATTAATTGGATAACCAATCATTAAGTAACTTGGTTAAACACACCTCTATTGATTCACTGAGAGCAACTGAGTAATATATCTACCACAAAATCATCAGATCAATAGATTATAATCAAGCATTTGCAATTGACTATCGAAGTAGATTTTGCCATTTAATCAAGAACAATGTAGAAAATATATAACATAATCTACTTACGACTCTGATTAAGATATTGACTAAAAGCTTGTGTCATTTGTGTAGTATGTCCATCTGGATTATTTTCACTGTCTACTTCCAATGAAGGTAGATTCACGCTCAAATTACCCTCATGTCGTCTCAGTTGACCATAGTATGATTCGCCTATGTTGAATAAATTGACAACCTAAATTAAACAAGTAAATCAATGAATTATCAATTATAACATTTTTAGAATTTTTGTTTCAATGAGAAAGAGTTAACACTCGCAAATATAGTACAGTTGTAGACAAATCGACTATATGAATCGTACCGTAATGGTGTGGGATTTTATGGACGAAATTTGTTATTAAAGTGAGTGGATAAAGTGTCGATTGATAGACGATATGCAATTATATGACAATACGTAGTTAAGTGATGGATACTTACGAAACTGAACTATTGATGTGAATCATCAATCATACTGATATCTGAAGATAAGACAGTTGTTCAGTAGAACAGGTTTATTTTCCTAATGAAATAATGCACTTATATTCAAGATATTGAAAATAAGTATAAACATGATTAGAAGTCACTTAATAAATAGACAGTCTTAAAACATAGAAACCACAAGTCACTCTTTAACAGAGTTAATGCTTAACTATTAGGCTTACTTTTTGGTACACCATATTACTTATACAGTCTCAGAAAATTTGTTAACTACATTTTGACAGTTATCAAGAATCAGTTAATTAGTATAACTGATTGATCAAGTACAATTTCATGTACTTGGAACTTTTAACTGGACTTTCCGTGTATGAAAGCTAGTAATACTATTCGGCTACCCATACTAAAGTAGACAGAAAAGAATTTCAAACTTACTACCTACTGGCTGAAAGTAGGATAATTTAGTCACTAAGCCATTGTGTATCACATACAATAAGTAGGTAGTTGACTGAAATAATGTTAAACCTAATGTTCATAAACACCATAATTACTATTGTCAACAAATCAAGTCGATACGACTAAACATTTTCATTATGTGTCCCGCTAAAGTAGATCATACTGAACTGATAACTTTACCAACTAATAGATATGTATTACTTGATGTTTTAAATGTATTCACAATGTTGATCGATTTAGAATAATAAACGTTTACAAAATTAAACGTACTAATTCAATAATGAGTTGTATCACAAAGCTTACTTGAAGACAAAGTTCACCATCCAGCTTAAGTGCAGGTGAATTCATGGTATTTGCATCAGTACCACTGCTAAGCGAATTGTCATGGGGATTTCTTGAAGTAGATATAGTTGACGGTAGAACTGGACATTCTAACTGCTTCAAATCAGAATGAAGCCATTGCTCATATATTAATCGACACCAATCAGACTTTGTAAGATGATTACATGCATCAATACCTCCATGCTCTTCAGCAAGCCAAGCCACACAAGCATCAATCCAACCAGGAGGTACATGAATAGCTTGACTAGTAAGCCAGGCGCTAAGTTGCGCTACACCAGTATTTGTATTCAATGTTGAAATAAATGATGTAACCATAGGTATTGTACTATAACGTACAAATAATAATAATCAGTAATGAATAGAGGTTAGTCTTTCTCATCTATAAGTTAAACATTATAGAATCTAAAGAAATCTAAAAAAACTATTATTTACCAGGTATCTTTTACATTTGATACTTACAGTACGATAACGGGGAATCAAAATGGTTATTCGACAAAATGCCAGTCTATGTGATCTAGTTGTTTTCGATACGTTATAACTGCATGTATTAGGTTCCTTCAACAATATCATAATACAAAAATAGAGTTTCAGAAACTGCTTTCCATGAATATGCTATTATTTCTATGGGAGACAAGAAGTCATTAGTTAAACTATGGATGAATCGACATCAGTTTATAAATATAAATTACGAAACTCTACTTCATGCAAAACACTAGTTGATTATTTGAAAAAAAACTAGTTATTGATATACTTCCTTGCAATTACCGATTCCTCAGACCAAATATAATCACACTTTAAATGTACAGTCAGTTATAATCACCGTAAAGTCTGGTAAAAAGGATTAATAGGCTCAACTAGTCACGCTACACCAGCATAAAGAGACAAAATTGACAAGATGAATAGCAGAGGAATCGAAATAATGGTGATATCAATGACAGTTAAGAAACATTAACACTGAAAGTATGGTTCGAAAAGAACGAGTGAAAATGAAGTATGTATGAGGAAGTACTTGAACCCAATGTTTTGGAGGAAGATAAAAGGGGCATGAGTCAGTGATCGATTTCAAGTCATATTACCTGAAGCCTATGACCGTGGTTATGGTGTAAACTACAATCAGATGGACTGCCATATACCAGCACGACTCAAACAAACAGTCAATGAGTTAATGAACTAATAACATCTTTTGATTTAGAGGCTCTTAAATTTCTTCTAGATTACTTCTGTCATACCCGACGTATGAAGCAACTGACTATAAGTAACTATTTCTAAATGTATCTATTAACCGCCTAGATTGTATTGAATAAGTTTAATATTTTTTGAATAACTTAGATGTAAAATTTATATCACCAAACAAATGATAAGGCAGTACACATCAAGTAAACAGTCTAAGCTACCAGGCATATAGACATACACAAATAAAACAATACTATCAACTGCTTAATAAAAAAGTAGTCATCTGACTTCCTTACAGATCACACAGTGTAAACTAGGTAGTCGATTTATTATTACATTAAAAAAGTCAAAATACAAATGAAAGGGAGTGTAAAACTAATAAAGGATTCATAAAATATAACAATTATTATACTTCGATCAAACAAAATCATACGTTTATGGAATGAACAATCAGCTGATACATGTAACAACAAAAAATTTGGAAAACCCATGAATCATTCAAAATGTAATTAGTTTACTAGTATTTATTATATGAAAAAGTGAAACGCAAAGCACAGAACTTTCGTAACATACCAAAGGGGAAACATTTAATGATAAAATAGATACCATCTTATTATTAGGCATTAATGAATGATTAAAAACTGTTCGTATGAAAGATAGACAGTAGAACACTCTGAATCTACATGTGTCCAAATCGTGTAAAATGTAAATTGCTTTATCTAACACTGCAATTGATATAACTGTGCTGTGAATGAGAATGTCAATCGACATCTAGAAAATCGGTCATTTAGAATTCTCGCCATAATTTCTCTACCCCACGTGTACTATTTCGTCTATAGCCTAGTGTCCTACGCTTTGATATACTACAACTGTCGAAATTAACCTTGAACAGGAGCCGATATAATCTTAGCTCTTACTGATCCACCGGTACGCATACTTTCTGCCATTAGTCTCCAGTTAGAATAGGAGAACAAGTCAGGCGAGCTTCTATTACTATATTGAGGGAACCTAGCATATTTATCTCAAGCACTCATTAGTTCATATGCATGGATCGTCAGACAGCAATACACCCCGATTAAGAAATACTTTGCACACGATGATGCCATATAAGTGAAAGACAATGGTACACAACTAATCAGTAATAATTAAAAAATGGTAGGAAGTATAACAATAGTTGGTGGGTCTAACAGAAATTTACAATACCAAGAATAGAAATATAATAATCCAATTATCTAATAACTATACAACAAAAGAAATAATAGGTCTGTAAAGTAGCTTCAGTTTCTCTAATATTCGCTTCATATCAACAGATTGTTAAACTAACCAAATATGCAAAAGATCATAAGAACATTGGAGGGGGACAGCTGGGAATGTTGGTAAACAGGTAATACAATCCCTCATGTTATCAGGTACAAAATGGACTCATAATTACTTTACTTCGCGGACTCTTGGCCCCTCTAAATTATAACAACTTGAACCGATGAACTATAATTATCGAAAATTGTATGATAAAATTCCACATACATCCACAGAAAAATTTGATAAACAAACAATTAAAGTATAACCACTCAAAAATATTGTCACATGTTAAATTTATGAACATAGATATATGTAAATACTGTGCTGAATGAATAACAAGACACATTAATATTTAGAAGTGATTGGTATTCTGCTTCACAACTCTGTCAGTTAGTCAGTCACAAGTAACATAGAAGCTGGCACATATGTTGGTACATCATATTAGCAGAGAGATGAAAATCTTAAGAAGAATGCCGTAACAGAAGTAGTAGCCGTACCAGTGATAACAGAAGAGATTAGCTTTAGGTAATATGATCCAAGATTGAATTCACGGAACCAAAAGTATGTAACAACTTTGATCAAAAGGAAAACAAAAAATTGAATGTATCTGCACCATTACGACTGATTCTGAGTCATGTCATCCAATGTCTACAGTGATTTGATCACGATAATCAGACGGATTCCAATCAGGTAATCTGCACTTATCAACCTGATCAGTAGTTAATGACTACACAAATGAAATATGGTCAGTGAGATTCAACATAAATATAACTACAGGCGAATAAGCATCAGGATTTTAGAAACACGATGTGGAATAAGTCTAACCACCAGATAGGCAAAGCCAATATTAAGGTGTAAGGCTTTAAGGGCAACAGTATAAAGTATTCATTGATCAAAATTATTTGGGCGTGAACTCGTTTAGCTTATAACCATTTGGTGTGAATAAGCGTAAAATGAAATCTTTAGAATACTGATATTGCGAAACTGAAGCACATAACCTGAGGCAGCCACTAAAAATCAGGACAACAGTTTTACCCTAGTATAGGACTATTTAACGGTGTCCGTTCAATACCATACCGATGATCCAACCGAGGACTTTCAGGTCTCAAGGTGAAACCTTAACATCCAAACAACTGAGTTGATATCCAGTGCTTGCTGATTTTTATTAATTGTCTAACGCAGCTTGGTTTATGACCCTCAATAATACACAACAATCCCCACAAACACATAAACTGAAACATGCAAGTGGATGACTGACAGGACTACTGAGTTCCTAAATTTACCCAACTATTAATAAGAAACAATAGGTTTAGAAGACTAGAAATATAACATGTACATTAACTTTGTTTGCATATTTCCAAACAGCATTCTTTAATTCAATACAACTCAAACCAATTTTTTCCTATCGCCTAATTTTTATTTTGGTTAATTATCATTTATTGCACTGTACATCATCCCAGATTATAAGATATACCGTACGATCAATCATCATATAGATATCTTCAGTGGTTATGTTTTCTATAGAAACGAAGGAAAGTTAATAGTAGGTTTATAACTAGCTGACATTAACAACTAATTCCCAATTACCAGATTCTACGTCCAACTAAAAGTTTGGTGGCATAGATTAGGAGAGAATATTGATGATTTAAAACTATATTATACAACCCTGTAAGTCATATTGATGACATGGAGTCATTGTTTTAATTTCCTCCAATAAATAAATACATAATTAAAGCCAGTAGTAGTGAAGTTCAATTACCTCACTAAATTCATTTTTCAAAGGCAAAATTGCGCTCATCTAACCTTGAAGTCAGTTATTATCATACATTAAAATAAATGATGGCTTAATATTTATTGGTATATCTCCGATGATTCTGGATGATGTCTAATTAATCAAATGACCTACTATCATTATATTGCACCTCTAAACTTATTCATTCATACGAAATGGATACTCTAATGTCACGATTGATTAAGGATACTTCCAATCTCTTTATGTTACCTGCTTATACCGGTGAAGCCTTACAATCCTACATTAAAACCAAAAGCAACCGTTAACCCCTACAGACTTAGATTTCAACCAACACTGAAAAATAACATAACTAGTGACTTAACTGACACAACCTACGAAATTCTGATTCGCAACAGAACTCCATTGGTTAGCAAGTCATAATAATGCTACGTAACACCACGTACATTAAACCTTACTATCCAAAAATTCACGAACTCATATCAAACAAGCCAAAAAAGAACAAATATGTACGCTTTTACAAAATGTATTTCGTCTTCAGTCAAATTACTGAAAATGAAAATAATGAATGTCATTCACAATAACTGTTTTGCACAAAATGCGAACTTCACTTAATAACTCTTAATTAATAAATAACAAGAAAAAAGGTGAAATACACATAATTATTTAATGTTATTAGATGAATACTTAAAACACTGTGTAAGTTTTAAAGAAAACATGACTGAAAAAAATAAACGGAAATGACTGATCATATGTTGCGTATGTGTGGTAACAATAGATATATTGGTAGAGTGATGTGGGAAGAAACACAGATCCAATAAACTTTTGAAAATAGGACCTTGACCAATATTGAATTTTCATGAAGATATGCAGTCTTCCACTGATCCGTATATACTTTCATCACTGTATGCAATGTAGAGGAAGAGATCACGATCATGATGTTCCTAAAAGTAGGTCGAAATCAAAAGGCCCATGATGAAAATATCATATATGTAAGTTTTGAATCCAATATGTACAAAGTTATATATAATGTTCTGATGAGATGAAAAAATCATATTGCCTACAAATTAAAGACAGGGCTTGAAGTGGTAGATTAATGATTAA